TACATAACATCATTATCATTATTATGCATCTGTGTTAATACGTTAATCAATATTATTCAAGTATTTTTAGATCAATAAAAAAAAAATTTGGAAGAACAATATTAACATAATATTACAACAAATGTGACGAATATTTACTATTTTGATTAGAAAATAATTGAAATAAAATGAATGTTATATATTATTACACTTATATTGATGTTATTTTAAAACAATTTAAATATTAAAAAGACACAAAAATAACTCTCAACATACCTTCAATCATTTAAAATTAAACTATCGACAACAAATACTATGTTACACTATTACCATGAAATAACACTATCTATATTCTATAATAACAATAATATCATATTAATTAATATTTCAAAAATACGAGTAAAGATATCTTGAGAAATCTAAGTTGCTTAATTATATATAAATATTTGTTGTAATATGTTACAGGATGTCTTACTAATTATTTATTAAAACTTCACGTTTCAATTTTTGAATAAATAAGGGAATCTAGAGTTTTATCACATATTGGTAATAAATTTCATATTTAATTTAAATAATATATAAATACAAACATTATTCCTATATTGTTCAAGATATATTTTATTAAATTACGCTTTAGTATTAGCTAGCTATCCTATGATTAACCCTWTGATTAACCCTATCATTGTGTTTTGTTAGGTTATTTTATAMAATTTATAGCAACGCATATCCTAACACCGCGCGTTCATTAGAATCTATCATTATTATTATCAACTATTAAAATATAAATGTCAATAATCATACTATTATGAGTATTATGACATTGACTTATTGCTTATAAAATATGATAATGAAGTCATTTCTTATTGTATAACGTTTGGTACTTGTTAATATTAGTTCTTATTAATTTAAAATAAATGTCAACGTACCTAATACCTATCTTCAAATGAATACACGTTTTTAATTATTAAAGGATTTAAAAATGTTTAGTAATGTTAAAAAATTCTCTCTCATATATTCTGTATAACATTATAAAATACTTTCTAAGACAAACTTGAGGTTGTTTTTTTTATGGATAAGCAATGAATTTAAAAAAAAAAACTAATTTTGTGAAGGGAAACTTAACCTTAACTTACTCATCATAGGTTTAGATAAACCATATCWTTCAATAATATATGTTTTWTTTTATTTTATCTTATATGCTACAACTGTAGTAATTTTTAATTATTTTAAATTTATAACTACTTAAGTGGGTATTCAAACATTTTTATATTGACTAATTATTGCA